TTTGAGGGCAGCCCAGTGCACGGATGTCGGATCCCTGCCCTGGTACTTCAACGTTGGCTTTACAACTCTTGAACTTGAGGCAGCGTATGGAAACATGCTTGACCAAGGTGCCAAGTAGTGCAAGTTTCCTCTCATGCTACGTGGCAATTGGCCCATATTTGTTCATTTCTCAAGAGGAGTAAGCGTGTTGTGCATTCATGCGGATTCGCACAGCTCCGCATGGGGAGGCCCCCTAAACGGCTCCATGCATCAATTGCGCCCAATCTGACGGTGTGTTTTCCAGGGAAAGATTCCTTTAAAACATCGACCAGGGGCTTATCAACTTGGTTCCCAGGATTTAGCTACTGCTTTCAGAGAGGGCTTGTCGAAGGAGCTGTTGACTTATGGGAGGCCAACGCAGTTCATCCCACTTCTGCTTGAGCCCTTGCTGGAAAGTCCCAGATTCGAAAACAAGTTTTGTCGCTTGTGAAAGGGAAGGGGATTCCTTTCCACGTGGTCTGTTTTGGTTGGTAGCCGAAACAGGAAAGACTCACTGCGACAAGAATGTCACACTTTTTCTTTATTGAGGGGTATATATCTACACATATATGTATTCGTCGTTTGGAGGAAATTGGAAAGCCTTCAAAAGCATGTTTTTGCCTACGGCTTGACAACTTGACGTTTGCGTGTTTCTGTGCTTTTTGGGGAGGAGGTGCTTGTCGTGGGCGGGGTTGGGGGGTAATTACGGAGTGCTTTTGCGCAGCGGCTTTCCTCCATCCAAGTAGATCCGCCAAAAGCTTCTCGTATGCAGTGTGGAATCCTGCGGGTGGGGGGCGCGTTGGTTGTGCAGTAACAACCGTGTGAGACGCGTGGATCATGACCTGGAAAGTTGTTCAGCGGCGTGCGCTGAGCGCTATACTCCGTCAGTGGCTGTCGCGTCGGCACGTGGACACCGCGGCCAGCCTGCCCGTGGTTCGAAGCCGCTCTACCATGCAGCTGCTCTCTGCTGGCCTTGATCGCACAGATCGCAATCCTTGATAGGCATTGACGCTCAGCTTCTACCAGCATAGACTTCGAAGCGTTTCTGCTAGTTGGGGATGGGGCGGTAGTTGAGCCGTGGCTACAGCAGGCCACGGGCGGTTGCGGCAAAGCCTGCTCGCTGCACTGGCGTCTTCACGGCGCGCGCAAAGGTGTGTCGCAGGTGCGGGTTGCTTGCGGTTGTGCAGCAGAGTGTTGTTGGCCCTGAAGACTAAGTGCGAGAAGTCGCGCGCTCTGCGTGCTTCACTCCAGGACAAAGAGGAGCGATGCAGTGGACGTGGTGAGCACGTGCAGCATCTTGGAAAAGTCGGCAAAGTTGTTCAGTCCCCTTTCTCACTTTTCCCATTGTATCAAGGCTCCGCATTTAAAAGTAGTCACGCCCAAAAGGGCCCCACTGTTTCTTCCGAACGGGTCGCAGGGCCGCTGGCAGGCACGCAGCACTTCACCTGGCTCGCCACAGCGCCTTCGGGCGCCTCCTCACCTGCGAGCAGCCCGAGCGAGCGGGAGGGAGCACAAGGGGCGCGACAGTTGCTAAGAGTTGGCCAAACATTGCGACTTAAACAGTAAACATATTATGTTAGCATTAATGCCACGCAAATGGTTTGCCGTTATTTTGTTGACTTCACATAAAACCCCATTTCCCTGGGATTTTTCTTATTCAATGAGTGGGGGTTGTTTTTGGTCGGCTCCAGAACCACGAGAAACCGGAAAACTAGCCTCAGCAAATGCATTTAGAATCCAAGGGGTTAAATAGAAACCGAAAGACACCCTCAAGGCATTGTTGCGCAAGCGGATGATTTGGGAAGCAGACTGACACGCTATGAAGGGGGGAGTGCTGCGCCCAAGTTGCCAAGACGGGGTCTTCTTTTGGGATCAGGCCTTCTTAGAGGTGCATTCAGGTTTGAAGGATGTTCAGTTCACTTTGTGGGTAGGTCATGACCATGGTTATGAAGGGGAAGGACCGTTTTCGACCTTACCCATGAAGGGACTTGTGCTGGACCTGTTTTTCACGCTGGAGAAGTAAAAGGAAGACACACCCTGATTCATAGCAAGATGCCCTTGTGTCCTTTACTGGCGGCGACGCAAAATGCTGACACGAGCAGTCCAAGCTGGGAGACGGAGAAGAAGGAGAGGGGCTGGAAATATGTTTTTCCAGGGAGTTGGATAATCTTTTTCATGGTGAAAGAATAGTCATGCGATGGCCCCTTTCTGGCGTCTTCAGCTTCATTTTTCTGGCAAAGGTAGACTGAAAGGCATACTTTGTTTTGCGCTCCAGACATAGCTTTAGTATCACAGAACGGTATATTCTGGGTTTTCCTCGAAATAGGCAACTTCTGGCAGCTTTCGCGTTTGGACTCAGGCTCGGGGGGAGTGCTGACATTTTTCCAATTTGGGATCCCTGATGTTGTCAGGCGCCCCAGGGGTTGATAGTCAGGCAACCCTTAGGTTGATTGGGGAGTTGAACCCCTGCGATCTCTTAACGGATCGTTCACCCGCCTGCCAAGTATTCTCCACCAAGCCTTTGCCCTCGAGGTTCTGGTGCTTCAGGGCTTGGCCGACCTCCACAGCGCTGGGGACCCAAAGTGATAGGTTCTCGACGCCGGCGGTGCTCTCTTCGGGTACGGTTTTTGGTATTTTGTTGTTTTTTCAACGTTTAGAGTTTAGAGGGAAAACCAAAGCACCTTCTTTTTTAGCTGGGACGGAAAGGTAGCGATGTTTGAGACTTGTCTTGTCATGGTAAGCCAACCCGCATAAAAGGCCGCAATACCAGACCCAGTGAGGGTTGGTGTTGGAAGCTTCTGTTTTTTGTTTCTGTTTTAAAGTGGGGAGTCAAGGGATTTTGGGAGTTCAAAGTGGTGGTTGAGTAAAAGGACTAGGAGAGTGGGCGCTCAAATATGAACTTGTGTTTTTGCTGAGAAACGGCCGTGTTGTCCTTCGACTCACGGGTTGACCCCGTTTTGAAGCGGCGAGCGATGAACGCTTGGTGTGAAAGGTCTTTGTCGGATTTCGGGTTCTTTCTGCGAATTTCCAAGGAAAACACCGTTTAGGGTTTGCCTTGTTGTTCAGTGGAGGAAGGGATTCTTTGTAGCAGCATGCGAGAGAAACGGAAGCCTTCTTCGGGGTGTGTAACCAAGGTTACCACAGGTAAATGGATTTGGAAACCCAGTAGTGGAAAACAAAGGGGACTTTCCAAGAGGGCTACACGTCTCTTGAGTACGCACCGTAAGTAGGTAGCCAGGGTAAGACCCGGACTACGAAAGACACTGGCCATTTCCATAAAGCCTTGCGAGGCGATCCTGCCCGCATTGCAGGCGCGGGGAGGGGTGCAGAGGGCTTCTGGAGAGGGTGTTTGAGCGGGCCCCAAAGTCAATCAGCCGGGTGGACTATTATTAGGTATTGCCGTGACGGATTTCCTCGAGAATGGGACCCCCCCAAGTAATCAATCAGGGGTGGCAACCCCCGAAAAAGAGCTTGCCGGAGGGTCGAGCACGTTTACGGGGTAGGGAACCGACAAGCCCCACAAACACACAAAAGAGTTTCGACATTACCTTCTAAACACAGGCTGGGGCAAACCATGTTTTCGATGGCTGGCCGGTCCTTTGGATTTCTGGACTCTTTTCGGATCACCGAGCCAGAGTTCAATCTCCGGAAGGCGATTGGTTTGGACTTTTGGGGCCATTCAATCATTTTTGGGGTGATGCTCAAAGGGGACATATCTAGATAAAACGCTGGAGCCACAAGATAGCGAGCTTTCGGGCCTCATGATGAATGTTCCTTCCGTTGGGGCTGCCTGAACTGGAATGTTTAAAATCAATGCATAAGATCCCGCCATGTAGTGGTGTCACGAGATTTCGGATGCCCCCAACAAATGGGGGGCCCTCAAAACTAGTTTGTTTCCTGTTTCATTTTGGCATCCCGAACCGCAATCCGAAGAGGGTTGCCTGTTGTTAGAAACCCCCATGACAGAGCGCAGGGTTCCCTACAGTTCCCCATTTAATGGTTTTACCCATTTGGCCGATTTTGAGTGAGTTTCCTTTTGGTGGGGTCATGTGTAAGGGAGAAACATAGAGAGACCTGAAACTTGACGATTCCCTCACTCGGCGACATCATTGCCAAGCATCCAACCGCACAGCCGCAGAGAAGCTCATGGCAGCAACACTAGAGTCAACGCCATGCTCCGGCATTTACTGGCTTAATTTTGAGCTGTCCTAAAGTGAGGGACCGTGAGCTCGCCATAGAATTGGCGAAGCTGGCACTGAACAAGTCGTGCCTATGCCTTCGAAGAATAGTTCTCATTTGTCGCTGGTGATCAGTAGGTACTGACCGGGTGTTGGGATTGAACCTAGGGACTCCCTTAAAGGAAACCACATGGTTTATGGAAGTCACCAGCAAGTTTTTCTTTGCCCCCGCAAAAAACCATGGCAAAAGGGTCTCTCAAGTGTGCACATGTTGCCGACCTCCGCCAACGACCTCAGTTAGTGGTTGATGGCCGAGTTTTTTTGGTAAGCCCCGGAAGTGGGGCTTATCCTACCGACTCAAGGGGCGGATCCAAAGCTCTAATTGCAAAACCTATTCTAGTTTCCTCCCAATCTATGGTATATTTTAGGGTACAGACTGAATGTGGAACATAGTCAGAGCAATTGTTTTTTTCTTTCTTTTTTTTCTGTGTACCCTTTTCGTTGAGGTCAAGTATTGGGGATGGTCAGCGAAGTATTCTTGCACGCAGGAGAAGGAGCCGGTCGATCCAGTTGAGGATTCGGTAGGCGCTTCGGAACTTTGGGGCTTCGGGCAGGAGAGCTTGGCCAGTTGAAAGGGGCCAGCTGACTCGAACTTTTTTGGCTTCGGGGAGGGCTTCGAAGTAGTTCTGCGGAGCACTCTTGCATGGTTCTGCGAGGCAGGTTCTTTTGTGATTGCGTCGAAGTGGTTCAAAAAAGAACTTGTTTGGCGGGGCCACCAGCGACACGTTGTGGCAGACCAGCAGGTGCGGTGGGCGGTGCCCTTTGCCGAGTGTTTTTATTCGACCCGTCCAACAGACTCAGGAAGGCGGCGCAAAAGAAGCTCAAGAGTTCCAACTTGAAGATACCCCCGTAAAAGACCAACTTGTAATACCATCTATTTCTCGATTTCTCAACATGGGAATGGAAGTTGGTTCCCTGCCTGTTGGCTTCTGACTTGAAATACCAAGTACCAAGAGGCTCGGTACATGTTGAGAAACTCTATAAGTTCGACGTCCGTTGTGCAACATTGTCCTTCGGTGCCAGCGATCGGCACCAATTCGTTTAGAACCCGAGGGCCCCTGACCAGCTCCCAACCTTCCCAAAAATAAGAAGGTCTGGGGCAAAAAGTTTTCTATCCCAAGATCTATGTTGAGAAGCACCGAGTGGGGCTTTCAAGTTGGAAACATTTTAGGGAGACACCCACTCGTTTTTGTTCTATATTTTGGTGCCTCCCAGCCATCCCGTCCCTCGGCTTTTTAAATCTTTTTAGTTAGTGGGGATTTCCGTAGTTAACCCACTAAAGGTTCGTCACTTTGAGCGGGGGGTCTGAAAACGGACAGTCCAATGAGAAGCTCGTCAACCCACGCGTCTCGGAGAGCCAGGTGACGCCGCCTGGCAACAGCTGGGCTGGCAACTGAGCAAAGCAGATTTTGTCGCCACATTTGGAGCCCCTTTTGGAGGGATAAAAACGAAACCAACAGGAAACCAACCAGTTTTGGGTACCCCTTTTTGGGGTTGGTTTTAAAGGGAAGCAGCCGGAAACCAACCAAGCTTGAGGGGTGAACAACAGAACACAGACACAGACACAGACACAGACACAGACACAGACACAGACACAGACACAGACACAGACACAGACACAGACACAGACACAGACACAGACACAGACACAGACACAGACACAGACACAGACACAGACACAGACACAGACACAGACGCCCGCGCGCCCCCACGCGCGCCCACGCGCCCCCACGCGCGCCCCCGCAGCAGCCACGCGCGCGCCCACCCAGCCAGCGCCACCCGCGCCACCGCGCCACGCGCGCCCACGCGCCCCACGCGCCACCCGCGCCCCCACGCGCCCCCGCGCGCCCCCGCTTCCGCGCCCCCCACGCAGCGCCCCCACCCCCCCGCGCCCACCTGTGACGCCCACACGCGCGCCGCCGCCCCGCCCCCACCGCGGCGCCACGCGCCCGCCACCTTCAGCGCCCCCCACGCGCGCCCCAGCAAAAACCACGGGCGCCTTCCACAGGCGCCCCCACGGAAACCCCGCGGGAGGGGACCCCGCAGGGGGCGCCCCCGCGGGGCAGGACCCCGGCGGGAGCGCCCCCACGGGCCCCACGGGGCGGCCCGCGGGGAGCCCCGCGGGGCCGCTTGGGCGGCTCCGCGAGCGCCCCGACCCCCCGCGGGCCCTCCCCCACGGGGGGTGCGGCCACGGGCCCACGAGCAGGAGCCCACGGGCGGACGACCACGGCGCCCCAGCGGCGACGCGGCGCCTGTGTGACGCCCACGCTGTGACGGCGTACACGCGGCGCCCCCATCGTGCCAGCCGGCCCGCGACGTGCGCACGGCGGCGTGTGGCGGCCCCGCGGTGCCGCGACCCGGCGACCCCACTGTGACGACGCCCCAACGGCGACACGGCGTGGCGACCCCCGCTCCGCTCTTGGCTGCAATGACGTTGCCGCTGGGCCCGACCCCCCGCCAGCGAGCCACGCAACGGCCAATGAGCCCCATGTGACCGGCGGTGTGCCTTGCGGCGCGGGCAGCCATGACCAGACCACGGCCCGGCGCCCCCGCGGTGACCTTCCATGGCCGCAGGCCCACTGCCCCCCCAGGCCCCCACGACCCCCGACGGCGCGTGCCCCCAACGACGCCGCGCGGCCTGCGCCCATGCGACCCGTGTTCCGTGCTCCACGACGGCCCGACGGCGTCGGCGTGCCAGCGACCCGACGGTCCCGTGACCAGGGTGTCGACGCCGGCGTCGTCGGCGACGTCTTCGCCCGCCGCCGCGCCCGACCCCGACCCGCGCCACGTGCCCGTCGTGCCGACCCGTCCGTCCCGACCCGCCGCCGGCCCCCGCCGCCCGCCCGCCGCCCGCCACACCGCGGCGCGCGCGCGCGCGCGCCCCGCGCACGCGCACGCACACGCTTCACACACCCACACCCACACACCCACACACCCACACACCCACACACACCCACACACCCACACACCCACACACCCACACACCCACACACCCACACACACACACACACACCCACACACCCACACACCCACACACACACACCCACACCCACACCCACACCCACACGCACACGCACACGCCACACGCACACGCACGCACACGCACGCACACGCACGCGCACACGCACACGCACACGCACACGCACACGCACACGCACACGCACACGCACACGCACACGCACACGCACGCACACGCACACGCACACGCACACGCACACGCACACGCACGTATTCTGGGGTCTCCTCCAAGATGTTCTGCTTTATTGTGGGCTCCCAGCCATCCGGTCCCTTAGCTTAGAGCTTTTTAGTTGGTTTGGTGGGGGTTTCCATGCAAGCCACTAATAGTTAAGCTTTTAGCAGAGGATCTAAGTGCAGACCAGAAAATATGAAGCAGAGTCAGACAATATGTTTTTCGAGTACCCCAGATCTGCGCACATGGGTTATATAAGCGGATTCCATTTACTCTCTACCAACGAAAAGGAGCGCCCGTCTTTTTCCGCATGGCCACTGGGGTGGCGGTGCCCTTTTACACCTGTGCATGATCAATTGTTGGCTTTGGGGGAAGTGGGCGACGCACTCAGGAAAGAAACAAGAAGCCACAAGTTCTATGGGAAGTTAGCTAAAACCCGCTCGTGTCGCTTTTCGTATTTCGCCGACTGCCGGCACTAAAATTCGTTGCTCGCTGGCTTTACGAAACGGTTTCGGGTGCTGCGGGGGAAGGTTTCCCCCAGTACGTGGCAAGTGCTTCGCGGCCCCAGGCTTCTACAACCCCCTCTCTTTCCACATGACAACACCCACTGCCGCTGGGCAGGTGGTGGAGGCGCGGAGAATGAAGTCGGAGGTCCTTCCAAGAGAAAAGGTGTCCTTTTGACCCTACCAATCAGCATGGAACCTGACAGCTTCCTTTTCAAGAAACCCTCTGTCAGGTTCCATGTTAGTTTGAGAATAGATGGAGCTGGTTTACCTTTAATTCTAATCATATGCCAGTGCCCCCTATGTCGAGGCTTTACGTTTGGTTCTCCTTCCAAGAGGTCCCTGATTGAACGCCCCCACTTGGTTCACGAGAGGCAAATGCGTAGAAACATCTACCGTAGATCCCTAGAAGCTTGATATGGAGCCCAAAGTCTCCCCATATGTGGAATGGCAATCGGGCCTTTGTTTGGGCCTTGTCTTGATTCTCAGGGTGAGTAGTATGTACATTTCCACAACTAAGAGACACCCGCCAATCCGCCAGATCAGAGTCCACATCAGTGAGATCGGGCTGCAACCCGCCTGTAGAAAGTTGCAAGGCTTGCCTAAGGGTTAAGAACATCTACTAACCACGTAGCTAAGTTCCAAACCTTCTAAGAAGTCTCCTTTTGGCCGTCTAACCAAAGAGGGCCAGAAGCTTCCAATCGGCAAATCACACGGCAAACTGAAGGGCGAGACGCGACACCATGACGTTCCATTCAACCCCCCCTACCAGTGGGCTGGCATCGAATTTCATGTAATTCAGACATAGTTCATCGTTTTATCGTGTTTGGGCAAGTTAGTTCGGCCCCAAAATGAAAGCTACTCTCATCCCTGATTTCCGATTGGCACATCGCAATTCAAAAGAGAGGATATCCTTTGCCCTGTAAACATGACAGGGCGACAACCGTTGATTCAGATACAATAGAGACAGCCTGGGCTCCTATCCCTTGGCTGGTATTTGCTGGGGCCTTCCTCGAAAAACCCCTCAAATCAGCCAAAAAAGCAAGTAGGGAACAGCCCTTTTCCCAGGTATTTGCCTCAACAGAAAGGTGATGTGGGTGTTCCACGGTAGGCTCGTGCAGGTCCTTCACGTCGTGAATCGCATGGCTGAAGCAAGAAGCTAGTTGAGTGTCCAGCCCTTGCCGGCAACTTGGCTTTTTAGGGCTTGGTCCTGTTTGTCGCTCAATCCTATATGGAAGTGATGATCCTGCAAGGAGACTGGATGTTAGTTCTGGAGTTTGCAAATATCAAATGCAGGATTCCCAAAGCCAGCGGATCGTCTTCTGCCTGTCGCAGTGCAGGCTGTAAAGTCGGACGCCATGTTGCTCATTGGAAAAGTCAGCTTTGGAGCGATGCCCTGTTTGGGTTTGATGTTAGCCTCAGACAATAGCTTGTCTCACAAGCTTGCTCCAAAGCTCAAAGCAAGAGCCAACATTGCTTAGGGGTAACGGCTGTTAATATGCCTGGTGGGTCGGGTTGTTTTCGTTTAGAACCTTTAGAAGTCAAATGACCTTTGCCTATTGAGTCTTTGCACTCTGGAAAGGGTAGTCAGTACCCTCGATGTCCCTGAGTTTCAATCGTGCGAGAACCGATTCGCAGACAATCTCACGGTGATGTCTCGAGATTCTGGCAACATGGGTGTAGCTTTTCTGGCAGACCCCCCAAAATGGCGCAACGGCTTTCCTTTTTCAGGCTCAGTTGCACCCCCCACTTCATGAGGCGGCCGCATTGCAATCCTTGAATCCTTCGTGCAGGCCATTTGGGTTTCCTCTGAGGCCGGGCTGAGCTTGCGACGGATTGGCTTGCGTCGGGACCCGTATCAATCGATTTCAGGTTGGGGTGAGCAGTTATTATTTCAACCAGACCAATCTCTTTTTGTGATTTCCAATTTGTGTGGGACAAGCGTTAGGTTTTTGTCTATGAAGGGCGGAGATGGATTGTTGATTAGTATTATTATTATTATTATTTGGGGGGGGGCTTCTTCTTTGCAGCCTGGCACTGCAAGCCGTGGGCCGACGTTCCAACAGAGGGCTCGTCGGTAGCGGTGAGGTATCCCTATGCTCGGCATCTCTGACCTTCAAACAAGACCAAGAAGTGATCCTGAAAGCGATGCCAGGGCTTTGCTTTTGCTTTTCAGAATTGAAAATGGTGGTAAGCAACTTGGATATTGATTCGCGAGTTTCTCATGCGAAGCTTTTTCCTTTCCAGAGTTGAAAAAGTCTCTATTGATCTGTCATTTGACAGCAGTAGCCACCTGGTTTGTAGCTGCTGCTATGCTGCTAATCCAGTATTCACAGGCACATGTGTCCTTGGTTTATTCTTCGTCGTGCCAAGAGGCTTACTTGTCAATCCCGCAGAAAGGGAAAGGGCAATGGTCACCATGTCACCCTGGAAGGGCGTTGGCTTTGCCTTACGAGATGTTTGTTTGTGACATGGGATGCGTCAAAACTAAGGATAAATTGCAGTGAGCTTCCTTTTGTTTTTCACAGTCTGAAACAATCATCAGAAAATAGCCAAGGGTAGAAAAGTAGGCAAGGGTAGAAGGGTAGAAGATGACCAACACTCAACTGGGGGGGGTGGTCCTTTGAATGGAAGAGTCCCCTTAGAAAGAATGCTAAAAGAGGGTCATTCCCCTAAGACATGACGCAAAAAACAAATCGGATGCGAACCTGACAATCTTGAAGGCTTCACGAGCGGGCAAATGGCAACCAGAAGGATGCCAGCCATTTTGGGGTCCTGCGTTTCAGTAACAAGTCAGTCAAGTCCTTTCTTGAATGTACTCATTTACAAGGATAATCAATCTGTTGTAAGCCACGTCAAGCGACCTGCCACACCTGCAGCCACGCTGGCTAGTAGGACATGATTTTGACCACTTTAGTCACAAGGGCTCGAGGTTTTGATTTGTCTGGTGAGTGGGTTCCGGTTGAGCTTTCTGGATGTTTCCCCCCTAAAAAGTTGGTTTCTAGCGCTCTAATTGGTTTCCTCCAGGTTTTGGCAAGGTTTCCTTGCCATGACTCGAGTGACCTTCGCATCGCAGGCGGCGAAAGCGCGGAAGGGCAAGGGCAAAGGTGGCAAAGGTGGCAAAGGCGCCAAAGGCCGCGGCGCTCGACGCCAGGCCTGAATGAACAGGGGTGGGTGTAAAGTGGCCGGGTAGGGGCAAAATGTCGGGGGACCAGTTTGTTTTGTTTTAACATCATGGGAATGCTGAATGAACCCCTGTTTATTGATACGGGGGTGTTCCTGGTTTGCGTGGGCATTCATCACTTGAGGGGAGGGGTCTGAAAATGCGGGGTCAACGATAGCTTTTTTTAAAGCAAGCCGAATGCCAAGAACTGGGGCGGTTTCTCCTCCGTGGGCTTCCGAACAAAAAGCAAAAACCAAAAAACGGTTGCCTTTTGGGGAGCCCGTAACCAACCAAAACGGGGTCTAAAGAATCCATTCAGCCAAAGGACCATTCTCAGGACTGGTAACCTGTTGGTGGCGGAATGATTGGGGTCATGTGTCGGTCCCATTTCCTTGAGTTTGATAGAATTGTTCGGATAAGTAGAAAGTTCTTCACCCAGGTTTCACATTACCGGAGAAAGACAAGTCTTGGTGGCTCCCAGCCATCCGGTTCCTTAGCTTTCAGCTTTTTAGGGCTCTGTGGGGGGTTTCCATTTAACCCGCTAAAACTTAGTCACGTTTAGAAGGGGATCTGAAAACAGGCAGCCCAGAAGTGTTGTCCCCCTTGGGAGTGGTGCCTTTGTCTATGAATCGACAGGTCAGGGGCTTCAGCTGGAAGGGTCGGGTCGCACAAGATCCCAGGACTGTTACATGGGTGTGGATCAAAAACGCTTAACCCCACAATGGGTTGCCCTGCTAAATGGAAACATGGACAAAAACCAGCGGTCCATATCCTGGTGTTTGAATTTTGACCCAGACCCACATGGGTGTGTGTGTGTGTGTGTCAAACGGGTTTTGACCACAAATGCTTTGGATAAGGGGTCCCCAAGTCAGATATTGCTGTGTATCTTTGGCTCGTGCTTCGCAACTTGAACGCACCCAGAACAACCGTCCAGCGCCATGAATGTGAAGGTGCACTTGCCCAGTGGAGATCATTGCTCCGTAATAGTCTCACCGTCGACACTCATCAGCCAACTGAGAGCTGCAGCACAGCACAGCAGCATTTCCAGCGCCGCTTGACGCTGACTGCGAAAGGCCGGCAGCTTGATTTGACTGCCACTCTGAGCGAAGCCGGGTTGCGAGATGGGGACGCGGTGGCTGCGGTTGTGATCCTTGGACAACTGGCTGCCACTACTCAGGCGTTTGCATTGCATGGTCACGGAGGCAACGTTGTGACGTGGGGTCATCAACACAGCGGCGGAGAGACCAGCCCGGTAAAAGAGCAGCTGAGAAATCTCCTGCACATCCAAGCAACTGCCAGTGCTTTTGCTGCCATTCTTGAATCTGGGTCTCTTGTGACCTGGGGTGATCCAAGAAGTGGGGGCGACTGCAGCGCAGTGCAAGAGCAGTTGCGGAACGTCCAGCATATCCAAGCAACTAATCTTTCTTTTGCTGCCATTCTTGAGACTGGGGCTGTAGTGACCTGGGGTCATGAAATCTTCGGCGGAGACAGCAGCCAGGTCCAAGAGCAGCTGAGGAACGTCAAGAACATCCAAGCAACTGCCGGTGCGTTTGCTGCCATTCTCGAATCTGGATCTCTTGTGACCTGGGGTGATCCAAGAAGTGGGGGAGACGGCAGCCCAGTGCAAGAGCAATTGCGGAACGTCCAGCATATCCAAGCAACTAATCTTTCTTTTGCTGCCATTCTTGAGACTGGGGCTGTTGTGACTTGGGGCAATCCATACTCTGGCGGAGACAGCAGCCAGGTGCAAGAGAAGCTGAGAAACGTCAAGAACATTCAATCAACCAATGGTGCTTTTGCTGCCGTTCTTGAATCTGGCGATGTTGTGACCTGGGGTGATCCACACTATGGTGGAGACAACTGAGGAATATTCAGCACATCCAAGCAAATGGGTGTGCTTTTGCTGCCATTCTTGAGTTGGGGGCTGTTGTGACGTGGGGTCGTTCCCGCATGGGCGGAGACAGTAGCAAGGTGCAAGAGCAGCTGAGGAACGTCCAGCACATCCGCAACTGAGGGTGCTTTTGCTGCCATTCTTGAATTTGGGGCTGTAGTGACCTGGGGTCGTTCCCGCATGGGCGGAGACAGCAGCAAGGTGCAAGAGCAGCTGAGGAATGTCAAGAACATCCAAGCACCTGCCGGCGCTTTTGCCGCCATTCTTGAATCTGGGGAAGTTGTGACCTGGGGTTTAGCAGAATCGGGCGGAGATAGCAGCCCAGTGCAAGAGCAGTTGCGGAACGTCCAGCATATCCAAGCAACTAAGGGTGCTTTTGCTGCCATTCTTGAGACTGGGGCTGTGGTGACCTGGGGCCGTGCAGAATGGGGCGGAGACAGCAGCCAGGTGCATGACCAGCTGAGCTTGTAATCTAGCAGGGTTGTCATATTCTAGACGGTGCAACTCAGAGGTGCCAGAAGTGTGCTGACAGGAGCAACCAGGCAAAGTCCACAGTTACAGCTGGTTTGGCATTTTAGCACATCACGGTTCCATCCAGTTCCGATTTTTGGTTTCAACTTAGATTCTCGCGGCGCGCTTGGGTGTTTTTGGATCACAGGCCCCAGCAGGGCTTGCTTGAGGGCCTGCTGTGTTTTGAGGTTTCCTCGAGGGCATGGTATTTCTTTTGCATCCAGGTGGAAGTGATTTGAATCAGATACAACTCTTAATTGGTGGTTCTGGTGGCGGGATTCAAGAGGCTGAATAGAAACCCCTCCCTGACAAAAGGCCAAAATGAAACAGGGCTCCTCAAAAGATACACTGTGCCCATTTGAAACATGGCTTTTTCTCCACCAAAATAAAGGGGCAATGTTCAGGTGTAAGGATCCCTGGTCACTTCGCCTAGCCATAAGTTTCCTTGGATCTTTTTGGTTGAAAGTGTAAGGATCCCTAGAAACCAAAAACCCGTCCCCTTTCGATAGATCCCATTCAGAGGGACGCTGATCGCAGGCCCCGAGGCTGGAGGCGCGAGAGAACTTGGGTCAGACGGGGACGTGGGCGAGGTGCTAGGTGCCCTTTCGCCGATGTCTTTGGGGAGGGTTCCCCTAAAGTAGACGTACCCTTATTCTAACCTCTCTGGAGGAAGGTGGCAAGTAGGGTATGAGCATGGTTACTAAGCACGTACTGAGTAGCCTGGTAGCCTGCCCCTGCAAGAAGAACGCGGGAGAGCCTTAGTTTTGGCCTCCGTTTTTTGAAATGCCACATAGCTGTTGAAGAGGTTGGATTCGGCATGTTTGTGCACGATTATTGCCCCTCTGCCCCCCCCCCCCCCCTCGGTTTTTTGTGTGTTTCTTCATGTTTTTCCAAGATTCCCACCAATACTAAAACTAAAGGGCCAACAAGGTTTACCCAGTTGGCGCTTACACCCACCTAAGCCACTATTAAACCCCTCAAGTTTTCCTACAACATGGGCTTCCCTCAAGATGCATTTTCTTACAGTTTTTTTGAAATTACTTAAAGTTTGCAAGCTCACAAAGGAGACCCCCCCCCCCCTAGGCCAGCCCTCATGTTTTGTGATGCTTACTTTTTGTATAATGGTCTGAGATAACAGACAGCCCCCCACAAACCAGGGCGGGCCAAGAAGGCAACCACCTGAGGCTCTCCAGGTGGCTGTTTCCAGTTCAATGAGGCTTCGGCCAGAAGATTTAGGACCAAGGCTGCAGATTCAGGGGGTCGGAGGTTCAAACATCGATTCAGTTTTGGGGGCGTGTTCCAAACCTGACCGACTCCTTAGGCGGGGGGCCAGTAAAACGAATCAGGGATGACGGTGAACTTGCGTCTGGAATGACCGTGTGACCAGGGCGTCAACCTAGTCTGAGTTTGGTGCCCGAAATGGGGAAACCATCGAAGCATCTTACTGTAGGACATTGGTGGACTAATCACATACTAGGCACATATTATAATTATTACGTGTGTAAACCCCGGATTAATCAAACAACCTGGCTGCTGCTTGATTTTGATTGGGGGGGGCCTCCTTGTGGAGCTTCATCTCTTGAGAAAACAAAACCACCCCCTATTAAAATCGGACGGGTTTATTAATCCGGGGTCATGAGTGTAAGCCTTCAAGGCTTCCAAGCCGTTTTCCTTTCAAGTTGGAACCTCCCAGGATGGAAACTGATGGTTTCAATGGACACCAGACACCACTCACCTTTGATAAAAGGGGCCTTCGGCCTTCGCCTTGGGCCCAGCAATTGGAACGCACCCAGAGTTGTTGGGACTAGGGTTCTCTATCCAGGCCTTTCAGCTTTAGGGAAATCCAGCCGACCCCTGCCCAGGCGTGCTTCCTGTTACCAACATAGGCAAGGATTTCTTACCTCTAGGTTTTACATGATGGTTTCAAGTTTCCCCTGGTTAGCTACTATGGCGAAACGCCTAGCACCGGGCTGTGTAAACCGCAGAGCCTCGGCGCCCCAGCTTCAAGGCGGCCGAGGCGCCGCAGCCGCAAGTGCCGAAGAGGCGGGAATTCAAACGATGGAAAGCCCGGAGTGAAGGTCCGTTGCCCGGGATCCAAGTCTTTTTCTTGTTCCAGAATATTTCAGATTTTGGAGTTGTGGAGACTGGTTGGTTCTAACCCAATTGGTGGACTGACTACCGTGGTAAGGTCATAGCCATTATTCCTGGCGTCCAATTGCTGAAATGTCTTTTTGTGTTGTTATTTTGCCCTGTTGGTCTTGAAGGGAATCAATTTCACTGGAAGTATTCCTGAAGGGCCCTTTACCTCAGTGTCCGTGAGCAAAAGCCAAACCTAGTGCAAAAAAAAGGTTGTTACCAAAATATGGTAAACGTACCTGGAGTCTCCATGAACCTTTAAACATGGGGTCATGACCCCATTTTTTTGAGGGTCATGGAGACTCCGGGTCGGCTTTCTCCAGAAACCACTCGCTTCCCGTAGGCCGCTTCCCGTAGGCCGCTTCCGGCCAGCGCGGCGCCTTCGGTGTCTCGAATCCGCTCCGAGGCGGAGTCGGAGTCGGAGTCGGAGTCGGGGTCGTCCAGGGTCGTCCGGGGGAGCGGGACCCCCCCGAACGGCGGGCTTCCTCGTTCCTTTTAAAACCAAGGAAAATCGGGTAGCCTTCAAAAAACACAGACCCACCTGGAGGACCCTTTGATACACAAAAAAAGTGCTCCGGACAGTTTTGTGGTATTCGAGCTCTTGTTCTGCTCAAATCCTGTTCGAGCATTTTTGAGGTTGCCTAGCTGCTTTGGTAAAGTGCCGTAGAGAAAACGAACCCACAATTCGAGCTCAATTTCCCGCTACTTGGCCGCAACTGTCCGCAACTCGGACGCAATTCCAAAAGTGTGCAAAGCTAAAGCACTGCCCGCAATCCGCGTGTTGCATGAGTTTGCATTACCATTGCTCGCGCACTTACTTGCCACGAAAGCTCGAGCACGTGTATCCAGGGGTCCTGCACGCATATTGTCGGGAGGAAACTTGGTGGGGTAGACACTTGGTAGGGAACCCCCCGAATCAACATCTCAACCGATGTGTTCTTTTCGCGGATAGTTTACCAGGAACTTGCTTGGCAGGGGTGCTTTGCACTAGCCAAGCATGCCCACCCCTTCAAAATGGGTTGATTGGGCCTGACTTTCGTGGGCCACACAGAGCAGGCGACGTACGATGAAGCGTCATGCATAGGGCACCACGGTGACGGAGCTCTGAAGAGCGATTTGTGCATTTTTCACAAAGCGAATTTTGGTTGCTCGCAGAAATCAAGACATGATAAAGATGAAGATGTCATGTGAATTAATCAGACTGTGAAATGAAGCTCGGAAAGGAATCGGTTGTACATGCTGGTCACACCACGGGTCGGGCCAGAGTAATCTCACACGCACGAGAGGATCCAGACGTTGTACTTTTGTTAAGTTCATTGTTGCAGTAGACATGAAACCGACGTTTGGAGACCGTTTTGCATCAAGTCAGCCAGTTAGGGCGTTAGGGTCTGAAGGGTTTGAGGGTGTTGGGGTATTTTTGGTATATGTCAGGTATATAATTGGGTTTTCAGTCTTGTTGCAAAAGGAAAGCATTCGTCTTCCAAAGTTCTCCGATCGTCAGCTTCGTTGATTGTTGGAGGGAGGGTAACTAGTTAGCTTTGCCCCCAGTCCATCCACAAGCGGTTCCCGAAATATATATTCGGAATTCCCAACCGAAATTAGACGCAGCATAGAGTACCTGGGTCTGCATGACCTTTCAAAGAAGGTGCTTGGATGTTCGTCCAGGTTAGTAAGTGGTTATAGCCATATGGGGTATACCTCTTTTATAACAAGGTGGACCCCACTCAGGGGAACCTATAAGTGGGTTCAAACCTAGGACACCGACAACTTCATTGTCAGCGGGGGGGGCTGTAAAAACAAAGTTATTGTTACCATACCAAGGGTTGTGAAGAGAAGGTGGGGTGTGTTGCGAATTCTCAAAACTTTGTGTTTCCCTTTCCTTGTTCCGACAGGGCAGTTTGGCGCAGCTGGCGCCCATACTGCTTGGAGCTGAGTTGTGCTGACTCCATGATTCGTTTTCTTCGCGACTAGCGGAACGCACCTCCATCTTGGCTTTCCGGGGATGAAGCTGTGTAGTTGTACTGAAAAAATAACGTGTTCGGGAATGAGAACCAGCAAGTGAAACAAAAACGACCGGAAACGGGTGGGGGGTTCCTTTGAGTGACGAATTTTCCTCCTTTGTGCCAGGGTCTTCGGAAAAAACCCTGCGTTTGGTATTTGGATGTTGAACCCACGGTGAAACTTAGTGGCTGACAGGCTGGTATGTTGACACGCAACCCTGGCTGTGGCCTGCGAAGTATGTTTGACGTCCGAACAACAACATGGGGGGGGTTATACTTGGACGTTATGTTGCACTTATGTCATGACTTATGTCACACGCCCATGTAAGATGCTTCTAACCATCCATGTCTGCAATACCTCCAGAATCCATTCGGGCATCTTGAATTCTCGATCGTAGCCTTCTTGGCACGCATTTTTTTTTGGGGGGGTCCTGAGGAAAATGAGGAACCCGCTCACATAACCTACCAAAGTAGATATTCTCCCAATTTCACCAGTAGTGGTTTTCTTTTGCCGTTATTGTCGGTAATTAAGGAACCATCAGAGGCAATAAATTATTTGTGCAAGTGAGAGAAGATTCATTAACGGTTTCCTTTGGCTTCCCTGCTTGTCCAAGTTCCTACGGTCTTAGCAAGCGGGCGATTCCACTCTGCATCAAAGAGCTTGCGTTGACCCTAAGCAAAGGCTAATCTGGGTAAAGCCATGTTGGGGCGATATCGATTTGTGACTTTGGTTTGCTCATTCGGGTGTCTTTTTAGGGGATCCGCCCCCCAATAAATAAATAAATGAAACAAGTTGTCCTTTTGGTGTCCGCTTAAAACCACCAGAAAGGGGGTGCCCTCCAAAACACACACACACACACACACACACTTGGGTTTCTGCTGTCTTTTCCTTGCGGTTTTGTCGGCGTTGGCCAACTCGTTGACATCTATCTCCTCCAGCTGAGGATAGCCCGGACGGTCCTCACAGGAAGGATTCAAGGCCGAAGGATCACTTCTCTCACGGGTATGCTCAAGAATTGCAACTCTTATGGTCGGAATGTCCTAAGGATCCTTCAAAGGCCCAGCAACTTCCCATGATTTTATAAATCTATCACGTTCATTTGAGACGATAGAACCATGTTGTTGTTTTTTTTTTTCGGAGGGCTAGTTATTTTTGGATTTTTCCCGTTTTTCTTTAGGATTTGTTCCTGGATTTGCCTTTTCTGGCTTCTTAGCTTCTTGGCTTCTGGCCTTTGTCTTCTTGGAGTCTGGGCTTTTTGGCTTTTGCCTCGTGGCTTTTTGGTTTGTTGGCTTTTGGCCTTTGGCTGTTGCCTTTTTAGCTTGTTGGCGTTTGGCTTTTTGGGTTTTTTGGCTTTCCGCTTTTTGGCTGTTTGGCTTTACTTTTTGTAGCCATTGTGGCTTTGGCTTTCCGCATCCTCAGCATCACCAGTAACACCTCAGCGTCACCGCCTTTTGGCTTTTTGGATTTTTGGATTTTTGGTTGGTGGCTTCTTACCTCCCATGTTTCTGTAGATTGGGGGGGGCTGCCCCCCCCCCCCCCGCCCCAACTTTTCCCTTCTTTGCAGGCAACGAACCCCAATGAATCCAACGCCCACCCTAAACTCAGTTTTGGCCCAAAACCACCCCAAACCAACCCTAAACCACCACGAAACCCACCCCAAACCACCACTAAAACTAGAACCAACCTTAAAACCGACCCCTAAAAGCCAACCCTAAAGAAACCCTAAAGTAACCTTAAAGACTCCCTAAAGAAACCCTAAACAAACCCATTCTAAACCAGCAAGAGACTATCCCTCAACCAACTCTAAACCTACCCCAAACCAACCCTAAACCCCAAACACCCAAAGCCAATCCCGAAACCCGCCCTAACCCCACCCAAACCAACCCTAAGTCCGCACTAAGTTTGTATTATTCTGTATTGATGCTGGTTTAGAGTGAGTTTGTATGGTACGATCCGCACTAAACCAGCACAAAGCCATTGCTAATAAACCCACCTCAAGCCACCCCCGCGAAGCAAACCCTATAGCTCCCTAAAGCAACCCCAAAATCAATCCCTAACCCCCCGTACACCAGCACTAAACCCGAACTAAACCCGCTCTAAACCCACCCTTAACAAACCCAAAGCAAACACGACACCAACCGCCCCCTACCCCCTCAAACAAACCAAACCACTTGCCCTAAACAAGCCTGGAACCCACCATGAACCAACCCTAGCTAACCTAAACTTACCCTAAACCCAGCCTAACAAATCCAACTCGTGATGCTGAGGATGTTGAAAAGGATGCTGCCGAGTTAAATCGATGCCGGGGATGTTGACAGCGCTGGTGCAAAACGAGTCAAACCACAGCAGAACCAAGGGAGATCGCACCTGCCAGTTCCAAGACAGAAAATCCAGGAACGATTCCCAAAACAAAACGGAAAGCATCCCAAAACAAATCGGGACCCATTCCAAAGCAAAAACATCATTGCCAACTACTAAAACTAAGTGTTGTTTCAGGCTGACACCCGGCTGTTGTCTCCACCGCAGTCTGGATTGCCCCAGGTCACAACAGCCCCAGATTCAAGAATGGCAGCAAAAGCACAGCCAGTTGCTTGGCCATGCTGGACGTTCCTGAGCTGCTCTTGCACCTGACTGCTGTCTCCGCCGTGTCCTGGATCACCCCAGGCCACAAGCTAGCCCCCGTGGCCATGAAAAGCGAACGCCTGTTCAGTGGCAGCCAGTTTACCAAGCTGCACAATCGCAGTCACCACGACCCCATCTTGCAACCCAGCCTCACTCAGCGTGGCTGTCAAATCCAGCTGGCGACCTTCCGCAAGCGGCGCTGGAAATGCAGCTGGGCTGCAGCCTTCAGCTTGCGGACGTGCGTCGCTCGTGAGACCTCCACACAGCAGCCGTCGTCATTGGGCAAGTGAACATTCACCCTCATGGCGGCGCCTCAAGAGCTGAGTAAGGTCCAGCACATCCAAGCAACTAACTCTGCGTTTGCTGCCGTTCTTGAAAGTGGGTGTGTTGTGACCTGGGGTCAGCCAGAATGCGGTGGAGACAGCAGCCAGGTGCAAGAGCAGCTGAGGAGCGTCAAGCACATCCAAGCAACTGGCAATGCTTTTGCAGACATGCTCGAATCTGGGGCGGTTGTGACCTGGGGTGGTGTAGGTGGCGGCGGAGACAGCAGCCAGGTTCAAGAGCTGCTGTAGCATGGACGACGCGTTTCTTTTTTGTGCGGCTAAAAGTGGGCTGAAAGCTCCGGGGTCCCCAATATACCTGAGGTCGGTTCGGTCGGACCGCACACCGGTCCCTCCACTAAAAAAGGATGTATTTACCATGGAAACCCAGATTGTTTAAAAAATACCCTAAAAAACCGCCGGGTATTTGGAGATTACGGGGGTAAGGTAATTGGATCCACTGGCTTTGTTTCGAAAATCCTTCGGGGAAGTTATCCGTGAAGTGGCACCTGACAAGTCCCCGGAATTGGACCCTGGGTGGCTTCGAATCGGGTAGATGACCCAATTCTTTGGGTGGACCCAGCTAGGTGCCCACTAGTACCAACTTTTTTGGTGGTTGGGAGGGTTCCCCTAAAATAGACTACAGAAAAAAACGATCGGGTACCCTTGTTCTAACCTCTCAAATCTGGAGGATTCTAGTGGACCCAACCAGTTGTTGAGGGTGGAGACTCCAGCTAGTTATAAGATGGAGCCATTTTCTCAACTACGTTGCTGTTGCTCATGACTGAGTGTGTCTCATGAGGTCTCCGTATGCGCCCGTGGTTTTTGTTGGGCTTCAGCGGAAGAGCTTTAGAGAGCTGACGATTGAAAGACCGGCTTGACCGGCTTGAGCTCTTGAGGCTTTGGATACATTGCGACTTTTTTCATTAGGGACCCTTTTGGTGGACATCATGTTTTGCCGTGCGGATTCATGTCCACCAGCCACTGAGGTGGTTCCAACTCTTAAAGTTCAGAGTCAACTCAGGCTCTAACTTTCATGTGGGCCTGGGTCAAAATTGAACCACTAGGGGACCGCTGGTTTAGTCCTTGGTTCCATTTGCGGGTGCAACCCATTTCGGTACCGGTTTTTTGACCCACAGCCACATGTTTGTGTCTCAGCTGCGTGTTTGGTACTTTAATTCATCCATAGGGGCTGGAGGTTCACTTGCCCAGTGGCGATGGCTGCTCCTTTGACGTCTCAGCAGCGACGCTCGTCAGGGAGCTGAAGGCCTCAGCGCAAAAGCATTTCCAGCGCCGCTTGAAGCTGACCGCGGAAGGTCGGCAGCTCGATGTGGCGGCCACTGTGACTTCCCCAGAATTAGCTCCCCTTTTTTGTTTTGCTTTTTGGGGTCCCTTTGTTTTCCACTCACCAGGCAAAAAAGATAGTCTTTTGCTGGGGTCCTAATTCCAGCCTAGGTGAGTGAGGCTGGGCTGCGACATGGGGACGCGGTCACTGCAGTTGCGCAGCTTGGCATACTAGCTGCCACAGGCACGGCCTTCGCTTTTCAGGGCAAAGGGGACAATCTGATGACGTGGGGTGACCCAGGACGCGGCGGAGACAGCAGTCAGGTGCAAGATCAGCTCAGGGACGTCCAGCATGTCCAAGCAACCGACATGGCTTTTGCTGCCATTCTTGAATCTGGGGCTGTTGTGACCTGGGGTGATTCTGAATTCGGTGGAGACAGCAGCCAGGTGCAAATGCAGCTCAGGAGCGTGCAGCAAATCCAAGCAACCAGCGGTGCTTTTGCTGCCATTCTTGAATCCGGGGCTGTTGTGACCTGGGGCAATCCAGACTGCGGTGGAGACAACAGCCGGGTGCAAGATCAGCTCAGGAACGTGCAGCACATCCAAGCAGCTGGTAGTGCTTTTGCAGCCATTCTTGAAAATTGGGCTGTTGTGACCTGGGGTTTTCTAACTTGGGGCGGAGACAGCAGCCAGGTGCAGCAGCAGCTGCGGAACGTCAAGTGCATCCAAGCAACTGGCCGTGCTTTTTCTGCCATTCTTGAATCTGGGGCTGTTTTGACCTGGGGGAATCCTGAAAATGGCGGAGACAGCAGCCAGGTGCAAGAGCAGCTCAGGAACGTCCAGCACATCCAAGCAACTGATGGTGCTTTTGCAGCCATTCTTGATAGTGGGGCTGTTGTGACCTGGGGTGATCCAGAAAGTGGCGGAGACAGCAGCCAGGTGCAAGAGCAGCTCAGGAACGTCCAGCACATCCAAGCAACTGATGGTGCTCTTGCAGCCATTCTTGAAAGTGGGGCTGTTGTGACCTGGGGTGATTCTGATTTCGGTGGAGACAGCAGCCAGGTGCAAGAGCAGCTCAGGAACGTCCAGCACATCCAAGCAACTGCCAATGCTGCTTTTGCAGCCATTCTTGATAGTGGGGCTGTTGTGACCTGGGGTGATTCTGAGGAAGGTGGAGACAGCAGCCAGGTGCAAATGCAGCTCAGGAAAGTGCAGCAAATCCAAGCAACCAGCGGTGCTTTTGCTGCCATTCTTGAATCCGGGGCTGTTGTGACCTGGGGTGATCTAGCATTTGGAGGAGACAGCACCCCGGTACAAGAGCAGCTGAGGCACGTCCTGAGCATCCAAGAAGCTGCCTACGGTGCTTTTGCTGCCATTCTTGAATCTGGCGATGTCGTGACCTGGGGTGCTGGATCATATGGAGGAGACAGCAGCCCGGTACAAGAGCAGCTGAGGAAGGTCCAACACATCCAAGCAACTTCCAGTGCTTTTGCCGCCCTTCTTGAATCTGGACATGTTGTGAGCTGGGGTTATCCGGACATGTTGTGAGCTGGGGTTATCCAAAGCTCGGCGGGGACGGCAACCAGGTACTCCTGAGCTCCTGAGCTGTGACACGGACCTCGCCTTTGGTTGTGTGTTAAAAGAAGGGCACGGCTGCACAGTTGCATTTGGCTGTGTGGCTCCATAAAATGTACCAAAATGGCACCTTGGCACGTGGAACCAAAGACTACAACCTGCGTAACCTTAGCTATTTAATTTTGAGCCACACCCCTTTGTCATCAGTTTGAAGGTGAAACCACGAGCGCCAAGGAAGTGAGAGTAATAGCCGGCAACGGCTGGTTCAGTTTGGATTTTTAGAGTGTGTGTGTGTGTGTGTGTGCGTGTGTATGTGTGTGTGTGTGTCGTTTTTGAGCTGCGTTTTTGGAATTGGCTCAAGGACAAATCCCAAGCATCCTTCTCCATTCAAGATTCGTCCATCCTTCACCAGCTTCTTTCTTCATTGGCTCTCCCTTGGTTTTGGGCTTGTCGGAAAGGATCCAATGAACAAGTCACACCTGGAGTCTCCAGACTTGGACAATCGATTCATGAGCAGGCCCGCCCCTTTTGGGGCATGTCCAGTCGTGTGTGGTAGATTCCTATAACGTAACTCCCAATTTATATACCTGTCTAAGATGATTTCCCCAGACTGCCCCCGAGGGGGACACCGGGTTATCTACTCATGCAGTAGCTTTGCTTGTAAACGCTGCGCGCTGCCCGCCTTGGCCAGCATTAGCCGGATCTGCGGTCTCCCGGGAAGGGCAAGGCAAAACACGTTCAAACGTGAACGAGGCTCGTGCAGCTCGAGGCGATTGGATCGGAAAGTAGGGGGGTTGAGAAGATCCAACTGTGGACAACGCTGCGCGCAGACAAGTTTTCTCTGAAACATTCAGAGTTTCCCAAACATGTGGATGTCGCTAAAACATCAAGACCTAGTCTTTGTTTCCATTACAAGTGCCATTTTGGTTTTTTTGTTTGAGCCATCACCATGTTTCAAGATTCACCCCTTGACGGTTTTTGGGCCTGGGATTCACCGACTAGACCGTCCTCTCAGGCACGCGAACTGAGAGGTCCAAAGGTGGACTCTGCCGAAATCAATGTAGCCGATTTAAGAGCACAAATTGTTGGAATGGGGCTGTAAGGCACTTTAAGACAATTTGTGTGGTCATTGGGGCAAGCTATGCGGAATTTGTTGCAACACCATTGCTGAGGTCCCCAAAAGGCAGACAGGCGTGATAAGGCCAAAGAGCCGTCTTCAGGCTGCCTTGTGTGCTGAAATGCCGACCCATGTCGTGCGGCCCAAATCCATGGTTTTGTCCTTGGACTGGCTTGACCACAACCCTGAAGTGCCCCTTCTCGCCCACGGCCAGCCCCAGCCACAGCTGAGCGCCTGCCCCGCTCCGTGCATGCCTAAAACCGATGTCTGCCAGCATGACGCTTTTTGCAATCGGATGTTTCAGGTACACGAGAACCATGCAAAATTTAGGGATGTCCGCTTGACGGTATGAATACCGAAGGAAGCCAGACGTTTGGAGGCTCCCGTGTGGAAACAGCCGTTGCCCGTAAGAAGCGCAACCCTTTCAGAAACATCCAGCTTCCAGAACACCAACAGAACCGAATTCCCCACTTTGGAGACAACTCCTCAACAAACACCCAGAGATATCCCAACAAAGCTTGCAAACGGAAAGGGCGCACCAGCGGGGATGCGTGCGGTCTGCACTTGGCCACCCATACGCAGCCTTGAGGCAGCAGCCGCCCCGGCGCCGGCTTCGGCCCACCAAGAGCAACTCAGGCGAAGGGGCGACAGGACTTCTCGCTTGCCCCAAGCGAATCGACTTTTTTGACCTGTTGGTTTTCCTGGTTCAGTCTACTTGTACTCCCGTTTCCAACAGGTTATCCTTTTATTTCCATGCCCTTTGGCTTACAAACCATGGTTATAAATATAAACTACTTGCCATGGTTGCAAGTCAGTGATCTCCGGGGTTACGAACTACTTCCTAAGCACCCCGCCACCTTAAATTCCTTTCCAAAAGATGAAGTCACAACGGACACTTGGCTTGGTTTTCCGCCGGCTTCCCTCCACGGGCAAATATGGGTTTGTGTTGTTTGGAGTCGATCTGTATTTTTGTAGCTCAGGTTGGTTTAACGGGAAGGGGGAAAAGCGAAACCTTTTCTGGTCCTTTTTCTCCCCATGTGACGCAAACCCATGATTCATTTCATGCCTGCACCTCTTGATATGCTGTTTCAGAGCCATAGCATGACAACGTAGTGGTGCCTGGTGACTTTTCTGCTTGGGCCGTTGGAAGTTACGCCCAGCCCCGGAACTTCCGGGAATGCCGAAACGCTGTGCCGAGCCGAGCTTTGCGAGGCCAACGATCGAAACGCTCTCGGGAGACGAGAGAGCCTGGTGACATTTTTTGTGTAAATCGTGTCCACCAATTGGGGGGAGAAAACGAGGCGAAACCCGTGCGGGCGATCCAATTCCCATTTCAGTTGTTTCTTTTGCGGCTGCAATTATTGGGTTTAAGGCGACACCAAGGTTTCGAACAATGATCCCACCGGATTCACCGATTCACCATCTTAATTCAGGGGAAGCGGGTGGGCTTACCCATTACCCATGTTTCCCCTTAAGCCAAACCCCCAAACGGGTTCTTTGCTGAAACTGCCCGTTGAAATGCCAAGCCTTTCTGGTGCTTTTGCAGCACCTGTTGTCAGGGTCTCTTAAATGAAATGATACATGTCGGCCAGTGGATTTAGGTTCTTCCCTTGAAGCACGTGGTTTTTGGATGTAAGGAACGTTTGGCTTTGGGGAGTGTGAAGGAAACCTCACCCAGGCCCCTTCCATTTGCTCCAGAGCCAAAAAGCATATTGCTTACAGGGAGCCTTGCCTGGTTGAATGCGATAGCTTTCCGTTTAGCACTAACGGTGCTTCACCTGCGAAGGGATTGTGTGGGGTGGAACCCAAGCCCAAAGTTTCGAGAGGTCCGGCGTGTGCGTTTCTATCCTGAAAGGCAGACGCCCCCCTCGCCGGGTATCGCTCTACAGGGGGTGACAAGTCAGACGTCCCCCTTAGCCGGGCATCGCTATACAGGGGCCACAACTCAAGAGGTGTCACAAAGCGGGGGCTTTTCTGACCCGAAAAGGGTGGATGCTTCTTGCAACGAATCAAAGGGCACTTCACCCCTTTATACTTTCCCTTTGAAAGTGCCCCAACGGATTCTGTAATTAATGCTCACTTCGGATTCTCGGACCATATCAATCGGAATCCCTCTAATATGAGTCTATTCGAGTCTATTGCGCACAGGAAGCACCCATGAGGAGGGAATCCAAAGAGCCTGAAGATGCCTGAAGCACCCTGGTAAACCCCTTTTTCAGGGTTTCTTCGGAAAGTTCTGCAGAGGGCAGAATCCAACAGAGTCCCACGGTATCGCATCGGCAGGGAGCCTGCTGACGGAGGAAGAGGCGTTTTGTGGATAGGGGCCAAGAGTCCAAGAGCAAGACATGGGGCGCCATCATCTTCCGGTTCATGTTGTGTTCCGTTTGGTCCACATTGACTTCTGAATTTCAGCTTGTGGAGGACCCTACTCATCAGAACCTTCAAACATTTATATAGCCCTGTTCCTCACTAAAACGGGAAGCGGTTGGTACGGTCCTTAGTCCGAAGTCAACACGCAACATGGTACTCTCCAAACACCACACCCACGTGGTTCATGTTTTCCGTTCGGTCCATGTGATGCTTTAGACTTGAGCCGTTGGTTTCTGTTTTGTTTCTATCAAGGTCCCCTTGAGGGGTGTGTTTAGAGGGGGTGCTTTCCCTTGAGATGTTCAACGGCCAAAAAGACTGATGCAAAATTAGTGATTAAAACAACTGGCATTTCTCATGGGAAATCCCACTGGAGGTTTGGTTTGCTTCGTAAGCGCTCCAACTCAGGGCCAATACTACTCTTTTAGGGGGATCCTTTTTGCTTGCAAACTTGTTTGCGGGGAACCGCGCACCCCAAAATTGGTTGGGTCTCCTTCTGAGAAGCCGAAAGGACTGTTGCTGTTTGCCGACTTGGACGGATCCAGTGTTTTCAGGGTCGGTCTTGGGTTTGTTTGGGGTTCATTTCGCTCGGCAAAGGGCTGATATCCAGGATGCTGTGTGGAGGGTTTAGGGTTGACTTTGGGTCGGCTTGGGTTGATTTGGAGCGCACCTAGCGCAAATCAGCTCCAATCAACCCAAGCCGACCCAAGGTCAACCTTAAACCCTCCCAACAGCATCCTGCCAATCAGCCCTTTGCCGAGCCGAAATGAACCCAAACAAACCCAAGACCCCCAACACTCACCCCAAATCAGCTCCGGGGATGCTTGCCCATTCTGTGTCTCCGCCTCAAGCCCGCGAATGGTTCCCAAAGGCAGGAACCACGCAGGTGGTCAGGGTAGCTGTGCCTATTCGGAAGTCCACCCGGGGTTAGTAGAAACACTCGGGGTTAGTAAAACAAATGACACTCCGGGCCCCACTTGGACCCCTGTTGATCACCCCACTCAACACCAATTTCCCGCCCTGTAAACTCTTGTAACTAGGCTAACTCACCATTCAGCTGCTGTGCATGAACATATTGTTGCACCAGTGGTGCAGTTTGCTTGGAGATTAGGACTTTAACTTTTTGGCAACTAATGGGTTTTCCATTAAGCCACTAAAAGTTAAACTTTTATAGCAACCGACTTAAATTGGCGTTTTTGCGAGCGCGTCAGGTGGCACGTCTGGCAGAGGGACTCTTCGACCTTTGAGCGCAAGCGCTTGGATCGGCAAAACGTGTAGGAAAGGAGCGGACACATCCCGTCATGCCACCTCCGCTTCCTTCTGCTTCTGCCTACCTCATCTCTCTTTCCGATGTAGACTCAAGACCCTTGAAGATAGGGGCGGAGGTAGAAAGAGAGGGATGATGACAGCGTACCATTCCCTTCCATCACCGGTTGACTCTGGACTCACCACTACCTCCATAGATCCTGAAATTTGGAGTACGAAATGCAGAGATAGCTATAGACAGGTAACCCTTGAATTTCAGGAGCTTTCTTATTGGTCAAGAGATCAGATAGAGAAGAGAAAGGAAAGCTAGGTAGGTTGGAGATTACACCATCAACTATGAACGTCTGGATGGGCAACACGGCATACCTTGAGAATTGAATTAAGGAAGATGGCGAGGGAGCCAAACAAGGCATGAATACTGTACCTTCGCTCTCATCTGACATCGCCATTTCGTGTTTGCATGTCTTAGCATATGATGGCTTCTACAGTTTGAAGGGTATTAGATACCTGGGACCCCATATGGCTGTTTTTTTGGGTCATACGCTTTTGACCGGAAAAATGCCATACGGTTGTTTTACGTGTTGTTTTTCAACAACATGTCGAAAAAACATGGGTTTCATACGGCTGATGTACGCTAATGGCCATACGGGCAAATACGGCCAAATACGGGAGTTTGACCAGAAAAAAAAAGCCATACGGGGTACCAGGTAGGAAATGGCCATCAGATAAAGATACATAACATGTCAACTAGACGCAAGACGATTGAATATACACATATACATAAATAAATAGATAACTATATATATATATATATGAGGATGACGATACGTGACTCATATGTTGGGTCTCTTGCCTTATCGGAGCAAGAACGCGTGAATCTGCCCGGCTGCATTCTACTTTTTTTAATTTGTTGGATTTACTTCATAGGTACCCATGGTGCCTTGATCCACGATGAATCCCCAGCCTTTCCGGCGCAAATGCCCGGCTTTTCGCCGACGCCCCTCTCTTCGTCAGATCCTCCAGTGGACTCCTTGGCTTTTTCCTTTGGCGAATTCGGTGGGGGCCGAATTCGGGGGGCGCGGAATTCGATGGCCGCGGGGCGAATGACTTCGCGAGCTCAGACGTAGACGAGCGACGTACGAGGAGTAGAGCTCGTCGAAGGTCCCTTGTTGCCCCCGGAGTTTGATAGGGTCTCCAAACGTGAATCCCCACCAGTTTTTGATCTGAGAGGGGGTCTCTGAAGGCAGTTGGACACTGCCAATAAGCCGGGGTTTCTTCATCCGGGTTCCCAACAAAGATTCCTTGGCTTGGGAAGAGCCATTTTTTGCCCCGGCCGGAGCTCTCCAGAGCTCGGCCGGACGGTCCTGCATGCAATTCACTTTGCAAGTCCATCTGACCCGAGGCGAACAAACCATGGCTTCCCATTTTAATTTCGGGCCCCAGAAAGGCGATCGCCTCACGTCTTTTGGTCTTTTGGCTGAGTCACTCAGGCCGCCCATTCGAGACGTTCGCTATGCGGTATGCGTTCGGCTCCGGGTAAAATGCGTGCGTCGGCCGGGAGGAAACTGCGTGTAGGATCGGCCCCCAGGTAGGCAACTTTGGGTCTGAAGGGGGGTAGGGGGTTGGATTTTTTACCACTGTGAGGCCCGAATGAAAACTTGGTGGATAACATATTGACGCAGGTAGAGCCATCAATCTCCTATGGCAGCCCTTGTTCATCGAATCTCATTAATGTTGGAGAGTGATTAATAAAGGCCCCCCCCCCTCAAACGAATTGGGGGGGGGGTCAATAGCGAGAACCCCCAAAAACAAAATGGGGGTCAGACTGGGTCCTGCCTGAGTAGTTTTCCAGTAAGTATTGTTTAGAATTGGTTTAGTATTCCTTTGAGCTGGCTCACTACGGTTTAGAATTGGTTTAGTATTAGTTCAGTATTCTTTTCAGTTGACTCACTGACTACAGTTTAGAATTGGTTTAGTATTGGTTCTTCTTCTTGGCAGGCTGCCCTGGCCATTTTTTTCACAATTCCCTACCCTTAAACAAACTGCATTATTGCCTTCCTGGGGGTTCCGTGTGCCACCCCCTTGAAAATTTGTCAGGGTGCATCTTCTAGTAAAGGGATTGATAAGGAATTTGGTGGTTTGGGACAGGAAGCAATCCAGAGATTCTGGACATTTCTGGCTGTCTGAGAACAGCAGGGCTTTCTTCTTGGCAGGCTGCCCTGGCCAGTTTTTTCTTCACAATTCCCTACCCTTAAACAAACTGCACTATTGCCTTCCTGGGGGTTCCGCGTGCCACCCCCTTGAAAATTTGTCAGGGTGCATCTTCTAGTAAAGGGATTGATAAGGAATTTGGTGGTTTGGGACAGGAAGCAATCCAGAAATTCTGGACATTTCTGGCTGGACTCAAACGTTTCAACCCTCAAAAATAGTCCATTCTTGGGGAGTTCGGGCAGATTATTTTTCTGTAATACCTACCCTTTTTGCATTTCAGGGGAGTGAATAATTTTGAGATGTTTTTTCTGTATTCACTCCCGTTTTATTAATCGCTATCTAACATTACGAACCCACATCAACAGATTCAAACACGTGGCCGCTACTCACCAAGGTCTCATGGTAGAAGTGTGCCTTGCTTGAGTTGTTTTTTCTTTTTAAACGTGCACCAAAATGACACCCGCGCTTTGGATGTTTCCCCATTTAGAGACCTCGAAAGAGGGAGCTTTGGAAAGTTACTTCGATTGTCCACTCGGCAAAAGGGGTGCTGGTTGAGAAAAAGACACAGTTGTTCGGACTTTGAACTACGAACCCCCCAGTTCGAATTGCATCCGTCCAATGTTTCTTGCTGAGTTGGTCGACTTCCAGCATTTTGCGACAAACTCGGCGCATGTGTCAATAGATTGCATTCCGCCCCCGCCCCCAACCCCGGAATACAATAGATCTAAATCGGTAAGGCCTCATCAGTTTGTTGGGGGGAGTGTGGGATTCTAGGAGTTTTGGCAAGGGGATGTCCTTGAATTGAGTCGAGGTCACCGGGGTTACATTTCCGGAGCATTTGGATTGCGAATCCTACCCGTAGAAGGACCAATACGCATTCCCTTGTGGCAGACTTTGGTGTTAAAGTACTTAATTTGGGCCGTCGGGTTCCCCAAGCCTCTTGAAGCCTTTCTAAGCACGAATTCACAAATCGGCATCTCCAAGTCGGGCACTGGCCAACCCAAGAAAACCGGTTCCCTTCCGAGGTCAGGTCCGACGGAACCGGCACGCAGGATGAAAGACCAGTCGGAAGACGTGATGAATTACCGCGACAGGGTCTGGGCCGCGGAACTCGAAAGGGTAGGTGGACAAAACCAAATATTTGATTGATGGAGGGTATATCTATTTCATACTACTTCGGCCTTACAGATGTATGCGCCATATCATTAATGATATGTGGATTCCTCCCGTTCAGCACCCTTTGAGCACGTTGACATTGTTGTGCGGAATTATTTCACATGAGACGTTCAGATCCCCTTGGGCAATCTGGGGGGCCTCCACGCATGTGTGTTGTGTTTTAGTGTTTTCAGCTTGACTAAGTATGGAACATAATCTAAACATGTTCATTCATTTGCGGCGGGGTCCGAGCTTCTTGAGCCTGGATTCCCACTGCCTGTGAGATGGATAGAGTAGCTCAGTGACCCTGGCTCGGTCGCTGCATGGATCTACTTTCGCCCAAGGGCAACAGGTCCCCACCCCTGAGACAAGCATTTTTGTTACCGTATACTATTTGCATCAAAATGCACTTCGCTTCTGCGTCTCCCGAAGGAGAGGCGTGTCGCAAAAGATGAAGCGTCGCCCCAACGTCCTTAATGGGAACCCCGGATAAATCTAAGCATGTCGATTTTGCTTCGGTTGTGTCACCCCCTATTATATAATATATATTAGGTGCGTACGTGTTTGTTGATCCAGGCTTTCCATTACGTGGGCACCATCCCTCGCTCAGGTTCACAACTCCAGAGAAATAAACTAGGCTTAAGGTTTCTGGCTGCAGTCTGTTAGTCTGATACGTGATCAGGAAGGTGCGCCGTAGAACCACCTAGGTCAAAACGCTTTCCTGCACCAGTTTGCCCCACTCCCCATTTCAGGTACTCCTTGTGGGATTGTTTTAAAGGAAACCGACATGTGATCCGCTTGTTTCAGGGGTGTGATTCCCTATTTTGGGGGCATCTCTTGATTTCGTTTTGCCAGTTTCCTGATGTAGAGACAACCCAAATTGGGATCTGTCAACCAAACTCTCCTGGAAGATACCCCAAAAGCATGGCTTCGTTTTGATCTAAGCCCTGGAGAACTTTTGGAAATTAACTAGGGTGATCGACCTATTCAAGAACCTTGGAGCAACATGGGTTTCGCAAGCCACACGGTTTCCCTCCGCGCAAAACAGGTGCATTCCCTGCCTCATTCCAGGTGAACCGCAGCGAGGTGGAAGTTGCGCAGGCAGGGTCGCGACATCAAGCTGGCGCAGAAACGGGTATGGTTTGTCCAAATAGGGCCGGTAGCACCCACAGTGCTCTTCTTTCGGTTTCCCCTTCAACCAAGGTGAAAAGGGTATCTGCAAAAGCACGCATGAAAAACGTGAGCTGGAAGGACTTTCTGTTTCCAGTCACGACTACTGTAGGGCCTTCAAAAAGAAGCTTGTTGAGGCTGGGGTGTCTCTAGGAGCGGTGGGACCTGGCCGAGCAACTTCAAACTTTTACTGCACACTATGTGGTCGAGGAGTGTAGGGATTTGTCTTTCTTCAATTCGTTTATTTGTTGGGACAACACATGCAGAAAGTGTATAGTTCCACTCTGGTGTATCATGAAAGGGCCTTGTTCTTCATCTGTGCGGGCAGAAGATGTCTTAAACTAGCAGCCCCTTAAAAGGGACATAGCAAACCCAAGCACGCCATGTTCATGGAAACCAACAGGAATGTTTGTAGGACATTGGCCAAATGCCCACCAATTCCAAGTTGACGTCCTGTAGAACTTTGTGTAGTTGGTCTTTAAGACATTTGGAAGGGTCTCTGGGTATTTCCTCATTGCAACATGGCGAAACCATGCCGCTAAGGTTGGTGCACTATTTGGAGACGGCAACTATTGCCACTTCCATGGCAACCTTT